CCGTGTTGGCAGCGTCAGGAGAGAGGCCAAGGAACGAATGGACTCCAAAGACGGAATTCTCCTGTCTCTACTCCAGTTATGGGGAGAGAAATATTGGTGATGTGCTATGGGGCTCCCCGTGCTGTACCTGTTTTGTAGATAAACAGAAGACAATTAGTCTCCACGGCTGTCAAGATGGTCCCTTTCATGAGCACTACTGTAAAATCACTCCAACCACTCAAAAAGAAAATTAATTAGCTATGGTTTAATAACATTAGGGACTGCACTAAAACGGACCAAAGCCAGAAAACATCAAACAAGACTGACACGCCTGCTTTTGCAGAAAAGAGCAACAACTGTAACTTCCAATTCCCTGGCTGTTTTCTCTTTGTGTCCCAGTAGATAAAGAGAGGGGGTGGGGGTTGCTCTCAAGTTCTTTGTTTAAGAACAAAATCTTTCATGCTGAACTCAAACATCACAGTGTGTTTACTCAACACACCCTATGGATTCACTAGACCCACTCACCTCTTTCCAGCAAATGGGGGCCTAGCTACATGTGCTAATTCGGAAAGCATGCATTATTTAACTCCTGTAAATCCTCAATGGCTCCTTTGCAACCCTTGTGGCCAATTGGGCAACTCCAGATTTGAGATATGGATTAAAGATCAGGAAGACAAATAAGAAGCCGCATGGCAGCCATTCAAAGGCTTTATCAACTGGAAACCAAGAGTCAATAAGGACAACTGTGGCCCAATATAATTAACACAGAAATATTGCTCCAGCAGGGGGAAGACAAAACATGACCTTGTTGGTAAAACAAACACAACAACCCATTGTTTTCCATCCTAGATGCTGCTGGCCTTGATCCTACACTGCCTTGTGCAGGCCGCAGCTGGGTGCGCTAGGCTCTTGCGCTCCCGCGAAGCTACATATGGGGCAGTTAAAGCCAAGCATTCACGGTTTGCATTGAGCCTCAAGCCCACTGACTCCCAAGACGGCAGGGTAACCATGGGGCTGGGGAGAAACAATGCACCTAGAAGCCCAAGGTAAGAGGTGATGAACAGGATGGGAGCACAGGGGACCCCAGTCCTGCAGGAATGAAACACTGCTGTGCAATCCATGTCATAGCAGGAATGAGGGCACCACGGAGAGCCAGTAGCCAAGGACCTTATTTGAATGATCATAGTTAAAATCATGTCTCCTTAGACATACCCATTCTCCATCCGTACCCCATCCCTTTGCTACAGCAGCAGATGCATGTGGACCACAATGCCCTTACGTGTGCCCATGTGCTATCTTCCCCGGATCATGAAATCTTTGGTGTCCCTGCTGTGCCATGGGCAAGGACTAGCAGGACCAAGGCCTACATATGAAATTACTGATGTATTAAAATGGACACAGCCAGTTTAAACATCGTAAGGGCCTGATTTTCAGCAACGCTGAGTGCAGACAACTCCAGCTGACATTAATGAGAGCTGCATGTGCTCATCACTTATGAAAATGAAGCCCATGCATAGGTTCTAAAAGAAAATTCTCTTCTGTGTTATAAAGACCACCCTCTCCCTATTATAGGGACACTGTCAATTTGAAATCTAGTCAAATTTTAAAAAACGAGCTGGATGTCGTTTCAGATGCTACATCTGCCTTGAAATTGTTGTGGTTTTACAATGACGTTTTCCTATTTTGCTCAAGATCTTTCTCTCCCCTGTTGCTGCATGAAAGTCCCACACAAACAGCAAGGGGAAACCAAAGAAACAGGGAAACTAAATTGACACAAAGTGTTGTCAAATGCACAACATAGACAAAGTGAGGGGAAAATGGAGAAAAAATAACTTCTTGGAGCGCTAGACATTTTAAGGGGCGATTGAGTTGTAAGACCACACTGTACAAACTTCAGACAGAAGGGCGATGTTTAAGCAGATGGACTAACTGGAAAACTAAAACCACAGCAACCATCCAATTAATTTCCCACCTGTATGTGTTTATTTCTGCCTTTGACTCACCTTGTAGAGTGAAAACAGACTGGTCGGTTTCACTTTTGTTTCCAATCAGTTTCATTTTTACACTGCTGCTGGTGGTGGTGGGGCAACAATCTGATTACCACACCAATCTCTCCCCTCCTCCCGCCACGAAAAACTCCCTTGAGGCTCTGAAGTCTTGTAGCCCATTGGGCCAGACCCTGCACTTTTTCCTCCAGCCAGGAAACCAATAGAAGATATTCTCCAAATAAGAACTGAGCGGGGCTGGCAAGATGCAGCGGCCTCTCTTGCATTTCCCCCCAGACACACACCTAGCGTGTGCTCACCCCCTCATCACCCACACAAGCCACCCCCCATCCCTGTAACACCCCCCCCAGCGTTAACTGCAAACGCTGTGGAGGGAGGGGGATAAACGGCCTATTTTCCCACTGAGCATCTCCCAGCCCGAGCACGTTCCCCATTGTATGGGGGGCGCAGCTCCTGCCTGTCCCCTCCCCACGCCTGCCATTGGGCGGGTATTTAAATGCCCGACACGCCCCTTGCTTTTGCGCGCTTATTAGCAGGCGCTTGGGGCGGGGAGGGGTGTAGTGATCCTCTCCGTCGGTCCCTACTTCAGTGCGCGGAGCTGGCTGCGACCCTGGAGACGGGGGGCACCGAGCTGATCTCCCCGGTGAGGGCGCGTCTCCCTCGCTCCTCGGATTTGTCGCTTTGCTTTTTGTGCTACCAGGAGTTTGCCCAGAAGTTTGGGGCAGCGGGGAGTGGCTTTAACCCCCCTCCCTCCCCCCGCATCTCAGGATTTTAGGAGCTTCACCATCGTTTTTTTGTTCCGTGCGCCTCCATTCCCTCCAGCCACCATGGGAAGCCAGGGCTCCAAACCGGCCAAAGGAGACGTGATGGCTCAGAAATCGGCCGATGTTGCTGCGGTGTCTCCCTCCAAATCAAACGGCCAGGTGGGTTTCTCTGCCCGGTTTGGGGGGGTTGGATCTTTGCTTTGTCCCCTTCCCCCGGTATAAGAAGGGGGCTCTCCGGGGGGAGCTTTAGGGCTACTGGAAAGTCTTCGCCCCCGCCCCGGAGTTGGGGGGGAGGGGGACCCTCCAGCTTTGCAGAGGCGAATTAGGCGCTGTCCCTTCCACCTGGCTCCTTTCTCTGCAGAAAGCATAGCCCTGGCGCGCTGGGTCTGCCCTGCGAGTGAGCCCCCCGAAACCCGCTTGGCTGGGGGAGGGGATCGTGCCCCAAACATGGGGGGGGGGGGGGAGGGGTGCGACCCCACCCTGCAATCTCCGATCCCCTCCCCCCCCCTGCGTTTTACTGCCATGGTCTCCCCGCCGCCCGTTCCTTGTCCCCCTCCCCGGGTCTTGCTGGAGACCGCGGCGTGGGCTGCCTTTGTTTGGCGCTCAAGCCCCGGGCAGCCCCGAGTGCTCGGTGGAAAACAAAGGCAGGACCCGGGTCCAGAACAGGGGGTGGGGGCGGCGGTGGCCGCATTCCAGGGCGAACCCCGGCGAGCTCCCGCGGGCGGCTCGAGGGGTCTGGTTTGGAGGGGCGAGAGCTTCTCACGCGTTTGCTAAGCGCCTCCAGTTAATGGGGGGGGGGGCTGCGTTCCTCTACCCACCCCAAATACACCAGTGGCCGAAGCCCCGGGGAATCGCACTGGGGCGGGGGGTTCGCTAGGGCGCACTCTGGAGCGGGGCGAGGAGACGCGAAGGGAAACGCTGCTGGGAAGGACAATGAATGCAGCCAGGCTAAGGACCTTTGCAATTCGAATCACTGAGGTTTTTCTTCCCGGGGAGCTGAGACCCCCCCCCCCACACCTCCCCTTTGCGGCTCTACCCGGGGGCGGGGGATTGCAGGGCTGGCTCCCCCAGGGAGGGACAGGGGGGCCTTTTTTTTTTTTTTTTTTGGGGAGGGGGGCTTGGGGAGGGGGGGGGGGGGGGGGGCAGTCACGGCTGAACCCCCCCCCCCCCGCTTGCATCGTGCAACAATGCCTCTGGCGGGCGGCAGCAAGCTCCCCACCCCGCCCGGGCTCTGGAGGTGGAGCGCGAGCGCCAGCTGGTGGCGCCGCAGTAGCGGTTCCTCTTAGGCGAACACCCCCCGTTTTATCCCCCTGAATTTAGGGCCTGGCTCACCTGCGCTGGCAACTGACCAGCTGGGACTGAGTTTCTGCCGGGCTGTCCAGCACTGGGTTAATTGCGGGGCACGCCTGCTCCATTAGGCTATGGGGGGGGGTTCCAGATAGAGGGTTATAACTGCACCCCCCCTTCCTCCCAGTACATTCCTCCCCATCTGCCAATTGTACCCTCTTTCCCCCCCCCCATCAGCCATAGAGCCCCTGGACTGGAGCAGGAGCCAAGGCTCACTTGCCTGAACTCCGTGGGAAGAGAGCTCCAGCCTTGTGCATTAGCCACTGGGAAATCCTTCCACTCCTCACCCTGCTCTCTGCCAGGTGAGACTGACTCGCTGGCTAGTGAGCATATCATGGGGCATGCTCCTGACCTAGCTTTTGCCTCCTGATCAGTTTTCCCAAGAATTGGGTTTTATAGCCACCACCAGCTCATCTCCGGGAGGTGACAACGCCTTTTAATCCTACCAGCTAAAGTCACTGAGGTCTGGGGGAAGTGGTGGTATTCTGGATCTCCAGGGTCTAGCTATAGTATCTAATATGTCATGGTTCCCTCTTCCACTAGGAGAATGGCCATGTGAAGATAAATGGGGATGTCTCACCAAAGGCTGATGGAGAAGCCCCACCACTGAATGGCAATGGATCTGCGGAGCCAGTCAAAGATGAGGCCAAGGCAGAGTCTGGCAGTGGAGATGCCATTGAGCCAGCCCCAGCTGCTGAAGGTGGGGAGGCCAAGCCTGATGGTGCTGCAGCCTGCAAGGAGACCCCCAAGAAGAAGAAGAAGTTCTCTTTCAAGAAGCCCTTCAAGCTGAGCGGGATCTCCTTCAGGAAGAACAAGAAAGAGGCTGGGGATTCTGCTGTGTCCTCTCCCACAGATGACCAGGCCAAAGCAGAAGCCAAAGGAGAGGAGAACCCTACCTGCTCTGCCAATGAAATGGAGCAGACCAGTACAACACAGGAAGAGAAAGCGGAGGAGAAAGCTGCTGCAGTGGACAGCAGTCCGGCTGCTGCTGAGGGGCAGCAGGAAGCGGAGCCTAAAAGGGAAGATGCAGAAGCAGGGGAAGCCAAGGAGAAAGAGGAACAGGAGCAGCAGCTGGGGGAAAGCCAGGAGGCTACTGCTAAGCCAGAGGAGTCCTCAAAACCCGTGGAGCCTGAGGCCAGTACAACACCTGCAGCAACTGAGCAGAAGGAAGAATAGAGCCCACTTGACATTATCATAACTTAAAGACTTTGTGCCATCCTCCTCCCAATAACACCGTGGACTTGCTGCCTTGCCCACACACCTGTATGTTCAAAGTAGAACTGACAACACCTAAAATTAAGATGCCTGAATTATTTCCCTCCTTCCCCCTCCATGCAGCTCACTGTTAGAAAACTGGTCTGGATTCCCACCACCACCACTTGGGACTAGTTTGCCTGAATCCTTTAAACCTGGAGGAAGATGATCCTGGACATAACTGGAATTTAGTCATGCTCCATCTATTACACCAAACTCTGGGCTCTCTACTGATCTACTGCCTCTTTTCCACTAATCCTCCAAGCAGCTTTCAAAGTCCAATAAGCCACTGACTGTTCAACGGATTCTTTTTCTTGGTTTAAATTCCTGGTTCTGACTTCATTTAAAGTATTTTGGGCTTTTTATAGAAACAAACAGTTTAAAAGCTAATCTGGTTAGTTTTTTATAATGTCTTACTATTGGCTTAAACCCATAAAGCTTGTAAGTCCGCTGTGTTTAATTTTACTTCTAAGGGGTAACTTTTCTGGGGTGGGGGGAGGGAGAGTGCAAACTGTATAATGTGAAGTTTTTTTGTTTTCTCTGTAAATAATTTTTAATGGCCAAAACATTTGATTTGCAATTTTCTAACTCTAAAAAAAAATTGTCTGGGTTTCCTTGTAACATTTGAAAGGAATAAATGGTGACCCCTTCCTGGGTATACTTCTTGACTTTGTCTGGGATACTGAAGGAGATGCTTATTTAGCCTAATGGCTGTTGCACTTAATCATTTTATTGCTAACTGTAGTAGCACTCAATTGACTTGAGCGCATCTAAAGCTGGACAAGCTACACACCACTGTTCTGCAGGGTCTGTGTCCCAGACTGCCCCATGCTGTGTGTAATGTTTTTGCATGTTGTGTGAACCTGACTTCTCCCTAAATGAATTCTTTAGTTAATGGTCTCTACAACATATTGATCTCAGTGGTTTGAGTATTAGTCTGCTAAACCCAGGGTTGAGCGTTCAATCCTTGAGGGGGCCAGTTAGGGCTCTGGGACAAAAATCAGTACTGGGTATGACCTTTCAGGGTCCCTTCCAGTTCTGAGAGAGGTAATAAGCTAATTCTAAAAGACCACTTGGATTGATAGACAAAGCCTGTAATGACTTGACTGGGGTTGTGTGAGACATGCATGGCTGATCACTGGGAGAGGGGGAACACTTGGTAATTAATTTAATCTAGAGCCCTTGAGGTAGGGAAGTAAACACTTTACAGTCAGAATTCAGGCAGAGATTAGGTGGCTTGTCCAAACTCACCTAGGAGCCTGTGGTACAGCTGGAAACTAAACAAGTGTGAAGTCTTCTCTATTCACTTAAGAGGCCAGGCTTTTTCTGTAAAACCAGAGGGCAGGAGCAACAATGATATGATAAGGCTGCACCTTTTAAAGGCTCAATTTGTATTGTACTGGGGCTGTAGTCTGTACCTATTCTCATTCAGGAGTCTTTTTTAATAAACTTCTAGAGAAGTCTTGGCTGAGGTGTCCCCCAATCAGACAGACAGCGCACAGGGGAAATGTGCAGCTATAGGCCTCTCCTTCAAAAGGTGGATTGCTGCCTGTAATGACTGACAGCTGCTATAGTAGAATGACTATGTATGGCAAAGTACTTTACCCCATTAACTATCCTGTGGTAGAGCATTCACCCTACCATCAGTGCTATGAGGCTAAACTTGACTGATCTCTAGCTCAAGTCTCGTCTCTACTGCATAAGATCTGGTTGTGAAACTGGTACCTTCAGCACAGCTGGTGTGTTGTCCATATTGTCCTGCAGAATTAAAGTTGTCACCTCTTTAACTTACCTTTTGAAGGTGGTACATGCTGCAGGTCCATAGAAATGGGCACAGCTGCACTTACTGGTAGGGATCATTCTACAACCTATATTCTTACACATGCAATGGTATGTGCTGCTATAGGGTTAACTGTACCAGTACTGGAGAGCTGTGTGGCAGCCATTTTGAGCACTACTGAACCACAGAGACTTGCATGCTAATGTTCACAAGCTGACAATACAATATGGGTTGTAGTCACTGCCTCATCCCTTGGAAATGGAGATGCCCATCCTCCCCTTCAAATTAATTGACAAAGGGGATAAATGAAAGGGATCTAAAAGGATTAATTATGACCCATCACTAGGCTTCCTGCTGGAATAGGTTGCTCCCCATGTAGGGAAATACTAGTTTATGAACCTTTGATTTTCTGCACCTTACACAATAGCAAGTAAGAATCTTAGAACTGAATCAGGCACAATAACCCACTCATCTCATTTAAGATGTTTCTAGATTTCAGTTGAACTACAACAAAACAGTGCTATGCCTGACCCCATTTTTTCCCCTCTTCCAATTATACCAGCAGTCACTGCCCAAGTGGCAGAAGTCAACTGCCTCCTAATTAAGTAGCAGACTGAAGATAATCAACTTCAGGAAGGACTGAAACAACGTTCTCAGCAATGAGAAAGACTTGACCTACTCAGTTCTCCAGGGGAAATCCAAACCAAGGTGCACACCCCAGTTGCAGCGAGGACAGTGCTGCACAAGAACAGCTGAGAGCTGCTTAAAGGGAGAGGAGAGAAGAAATGTCTCTCTAATGCTTAGTGTAAAATGTAAGGGGGAATACAATGCAGGAACCATGGCAAACAGACCCAGCCATTCATCAAAGGGGCAGCTGGAGAATTAGGATACCGTAAACACTTTAAACAAAAGAAAAGTTGAAAGGAAGGTAAGGCCTATACAGGGACCTGTAAATGAAAAGAGCAACAGAGCAAATTCAGTCCTGCTATAAATACAGTGGCTTCAAAGGATGAATACAGGGCAGTTTGCTTACCAATAGGGATAGAGGACACAGTAAGCAATCACCCAAAGCCTTGAATTTCAATGGTTAAGTTTTTCAACAGTGATCTATATTATTTTGTCATCACTAGTCTACGATCTACAACAAGTAGACCCCCTCCCTCCCTTTTATGTCCTCTGACCACAAAGAAGGGTAAGATTCACACCAACATAGAAATGTGTCATTTTTATTACAAAGATTTTCAAAATAAAAAGCATCTTTTAAAAAACCACAATATATTTCCCCCCCCAGACACACAGATACAGCGATCTCTCACTTCACAAAAACGTAAAAGAGCAGGAGGAGCCGCAGTCAGCTTCAAGAGACTAGAGATGGTGGAAAAGAAGAGTACTTAAAAAAATAAAACATTTAAAAATAACCTGTGTTAAGTTAGCAGCATTACTGGAGTTGAAACCATCAGCAGCGCTCTGTGGGAGGTACAGATGCTCTAGTGGACAGAGGTATCCCCCTGAGAAAACAGCAAGTGAAAGCTGCCTGCAGAACTTCTGCAAGGCTGGAGCTCAGTGAAGCATTTCACAGAAAGCTCATCCAATGATTAGTTATGAGACGTGAGATGCAAGGTAAAGGCCAGTTCTGTTCTCAAGCAACGGGGGGTGCTGCTGTTCCATTACAAAGAGAGCAGCTTAAGTTGCAGGTTCAAAAGGTTCCCCCCAGTTACTGGCCTGGACAACAAGGAGAAAGGTCCTATCTAAAAACATTTGTGCTTCACATCAGATGAGAATTTTCAGCAAGTGCCACATTGACAAGCAGCTTCAACCAGGCTCTTCGCAAGCTGGTCTTTAGCTGACTTGGGATTTCTGTAGTGGTTTCAGTCTAGGACCTAGATCAGCACTCAGAATGCACATTATGTAATCACGGGTAGTCGAGAGGGGGAAAAAGCAGGGAGAGCTACGCAGGAAGACAATAGGCAGTAATGCATTTCCCCCCACATAGGGGTTTTGGTATATGAAGAAAAATATTCTTTTGAGCCCTTCTCTCTCATATGAGATGTATAATGCTGCCACACTAACTTGACTTAAAATAATCCACTTTAGAAAGTTTTATTTAAAACACCAGCTAGCTGGCAGTTTTCATTTTGTGCTATCCAGATCTACACCTTAGAACAGGGCACCTTGGGCTGCTACACCAGGGAACGTTACATATTTGCTTTCAAACTGCTTCAACTCCTTCCACAAATCCACTGCGGTAGATAGCCAACTTTAGTCAAGAACTGCACTATTTGACCCTGAGAACTGGCATCAGCTTGCAGTTACTTACTATGGTGTAATTGGACCAAAGACCATAGGAGCAGTTTCTCTCACAGGCATAAGTTGGGAACTCAAAAGTTCTCCCAAAGTTTCATGGCCATATTTCCACCTGACTTGAAAGTCAGACACTTTCTACTTTATATTTAAAAAAAATAAAATAAAATAAAATTCAGTATTCTCCCAAGGGCTATTTCAAAGAGAGGGTAGAGAAGAGGAAAATGATTTTTAAAAAACACACCAGAGAGGCAGCGGAAGGCAAGAGTGAAACTTCCCTGTCACTAATTCTGAATAGTGCAGGTCTGTCTACTCAGAACCCTCCCCATCTGCTCTCAGCGGAATGCAGCAAGGAATAATTTACAGTTCTTAAGTCATTTATATATTTATATAGAAATATATACAGAAACATATAAAATATAAACCCTGTGGAATGGGAGGCTACCAGAGAAGCAAACGTATAACTATGTACTGAAAGGTATTGTCCAGCTGCAGTCATCTTAGGCTGATTTAGTCTCTTCCTTTACCCTGTAGAGCCAAGAGTGGAGAGCGTGTGTTAAGGAACTGACAAAAGAATCAGATTGTGATCAAGCTGTAGCAAAACAGTGGAGTAACATGTTAAAGCCTTTACCCTTAGGTCCTGTCCTAACAGATGCACCAACATCGGTCCTTATCTTACACACACACAATGAAGTTTTACACACATCGCAAAATATTTTTAAGCACTTCTCTAGCACCTTTTATCCAAGGACCTCAAAGTGCTTTACCAAAAGAGGGCCTTGGGTATTATCTATAATTTACAGATGGAGAAACTCAGAAAGTCACCTACAGGGAGCACCTAGAAAACCATCCTGCTGCTCAACTCCCCAGCACCTAAGTCACATTGCATCCTAGTGTGTGTGTGTGGGGGGGGGGGGGGAATCCATAAGGCAGAAGTAGGTCTCACCCTTTGGGTTCTGCTTTCTCCTCTTTGGCTTTTTCCTCTTCTTTCTCATCTAGAAAAGAAAAAAACCCAAATAGCAAAGAGGCACAGAAATAGCAACCACTCACCAGCCCCACCTGGCAGAATCAGACACCAGTCAGGGAGGTCCAATTACATTAGAAATCACTGGTGAGGCAGTTACAGTAGAAAAACAGATAATGCCAGCTACTCTGCATGTGTGGGGCAGAGTCTGGAAACCGGCGAACCCTTCAGGTATCCACACTTGAAGCCATAGTCTGGGGCAGCAACCTGTTTTGAGCCACTTGTGGCACCCTGAAGCTCCGTATTCTATTGTCCTCCAATCTGAGTCATAAATCTTCATAGTAACTACAGCAGTTGTCCCAGCAACAAGAAAAGAAAGAACAGACCAGCAGAGAGTCAGACAGCTTGTGTTTGAAGCCACAGAATGTTTCTGGGTGGCAGTGACAAGGATTTTTGCAAATCTGGCAACACGCTGTATTATACCAGATCTCAGGGAGCCCGCAATGATACAGCTCAGGTTGTAGCCTTTATGTAGTTATTTTGAGGACTCCACTAACAGTCACCTCATTCTAAGCTTGTTACATGCGTATTTCTCTTTGGAACAG